AAATGGTCTAAGCCCCAGAGCTCAATATAACAGCATTGCCAAAAAGGCATTCAGAGTTGTTAACCTAATTTTGCGAAGCTTCTTCTCCGGTAACATTTTACTGCTAACTAGGGCATACAAAACCTTTGCCAGACCAATTCTCGAATACAGCTCGTCTGCCTGGAATCCACACTGTATTTCGGACCTTAATACAATCGAGTGAGTCCAGAGGTATTTCAGAGGAGTACTCCACTCCTCTGCTCACAATAGAATACGTTATGCCACCCAGGCTTGAAATTTTGGGCTTAGACAACCTAGAACTATGACAACTAAGGTCTGACTTAAGCATAGTACACAAAATTGTCTGCTACAACATCCTACCTGTCAACGACTACTTCAGCTTCAACCTCAATAATAAACGGGCAAACAATAGATACAAACTCAAGGTAAACGCTTGAGTAATCGCTCCAAACTCAATTACAGAAAATACGACTTCAGCAACAGTGTGGTCAATGCCTGGAATGCTCTACCTGACTCCATTGTTACATCCTCTAACCCTCGTAGCTTCAACCTTAAACTGTCTACCATGGACCTCACCTTATTCCTAAGAGGTCCATAAAATTGGGCATGCATAAGCGCACCAGCATGCCTACCTGTCCTACTGTCCCCATTTATTTGTACTCATTTCCTTTGTTCATGTCCATGTTTATACTTAATACCTGTTATCTCGTACATGTTTGACAAACTAAATAAATAAATAAAATAACATTATATGGATTGGGCTGTGAGGTCCTGATACTGGTGCAACCATTTTAGGACTTTAATCTCAGCCCCAGAATTGTTATTTGTTCACGATCCAAATAGTTGACAGAGGATTCCAGCCAAAATAGATTTATTTAGAATGTACAATGCATTCGTGAAGACATGAGCTACTTGTTAACAGTTCCCTTATTCTGCGGTCTGAATTGGCCTCTTAAATAAACAGTGAGCAACACGTCAGTCTTTTCTAACATTCGGCTTTTTAGCAGATGAACCATTTTCTCTCTTTTTTTTTTTTCCAAGTGCCAGTCTCACACGTTGTGTTTTACTCTGACCAGAAGGAGGCAGGCTAGCTTAAAAGATTTGTCCTGGTCAGGGCTGCCCAGTGTTCTCCAGAGGAGCTTTAAACCTGATGGGCTAGCGCTAGAGGCTGGAACTAAAGCTAAGTTTCATTAAGTAAAATTAAACACTGTTATCTATTTCAGAAATGTCTTTTAACCAATTTCGTTGCATTTAAGTACAATGACAATAAAGATTATACTTATACTTTTAGAATCTATCCTTTGATAACACTTAATGGTTTCTGGGAGCCTCTCTGAAGTCTTTTTCTATTCCTTGAAGATCCATGCACGTCACTAGAAATACCGAACAAAAGAATATGAATTCAATAATAACAACGGCCACAGGAGCAGCATTAACGTTACATCGGATACAGCCCACGCGGATGCTACAAAAATCTGTTCTGTCTTGGCTCTTTCTTCTTACAGAACTTGAAAGCTCAGACACATCCCCAGAAATCCTCACAAATCAAAAGTAGCTTCTGCCCCTGGCTGACCTCCATTTGGTGGATTTCAACAGACAATTCTGTGTGCCGCCAGCAACAAAGCAAAAAGTTATCACACTGTGAGGATACACACTTTTCGTAGTGCAGAAACATTTGCATTCTTTTCCCTTTTGTACAATTTCACAAAAGAGAATGTGTTTCTCAATTTTGTTTCAAAGGAGGAATTAATTTATGTGACATTGTCCTAGGTAGGGGTGTGAACCTGCACCTCTTTATTTAGCCATGACGCAGCTATATTTTAATGAATGTCTCGTCTTTCATGGTATAATAATCTTTCCGGAGATTTGGAGGGTTTCAGGCATACCGTACTCCAAAGAGTCCTCCGTGACCTTTTAAAAAAAAAGTTAGACTGGAAAGTGCCAAGTAGATTAGGAGACTTCAAAATGATAAAACATTCAGAACAGAAAGTAGGAACAGCTGCACTAGAACATAAAACTGTCAGAGAAACTGCAAGTTCCTGTAGTTTTTCTTCAATAAAATATTTTTTTAAAAAAACCATTGGTACTGTCTTAGTGCAGAGATGAGTTCTGGTGGCATCAAAATACAAATAAAAGGACATTTCATAGCTGAACACGTCTTCCAGTCATCCCAAGTTTCCATTCCATGCTGGATTCTATAAAGCTAACGCCAGCAACATACTGACCAACAGAAACATGGAATTTTGATTGGCCACAACCCTCAGGGGCTGTAGAAAGGCCCTAAACCCGTGATGGTGAACCTATGGCACGTGTACCACAGGTGGCACACAGCGCCATTTTTGAGGGCACGCATTGCCCTATCCCCTCCAGCGCACAAACGTGCACTGGCCAGGTGATTTTCAGCCTTGATTTTTGGCCATTTTTCACCGAAATGGGGATGAACTTCCGATTTGTGCGTTGGGCTGCTTTTCGGCCTCTGGAAGCTTCAGGGAAGCCTCCTAAAGCCTCCGGAGGGCAAAAAAATGCACAATGTGCAAACCGGAAGTTTGGGGATGTTTGGTATTGGGGCTTCCAGAGGGGCAGGGGAGACTGTTTTCGCCCTCTCCAGGCTCAAAGAAAGCGGTGCACACATGTGGGGGGCAGCAGTGAGGTTAATGCATGTATGCACAGAGGGCATGCCACGGGGGCCATTAAATTGTGGGGGTGGGCACGTATGTGTGACAGCATGCGTGCTCATGCTTTTGGCACCTGAAGCAAAAAAGGTTCACCATCACTGCCCTAAACCCTAAGCCTGCTGCCATGCATGTGGGGGTGTCTGCAGATGGTGAGGAGCATAAGACACAATGGCTGTATTGAACTGATGCATAGGTAGAACCTGGTGCTGATCATGGTTGTTTGGTTTAAATTGATCATGAATGGTTTTTATCTGTTTCTCTATTGTGTTTGCTTTTCCCTTGTAGTGAGCCACCCAGTCACTTGGATAAGATTGGCAGCCATACAATGGTGCAAATAATAACTACTACTACTCCCTCCAGAAATTGTGGGCACTCCATTACTGGATGCTTTTAACAAGAGTCTAGACCAATGATTCCCAACCTTTTTTTGGGCCATGCTCCACCCAAGCATCTCTAAAATCCTGACATGCACACCCCACATATAATTCTTACTTTACTCAAAAAGTGAGCTCTACTCATGCGGAGGAAGCCTAAAAGGCCATTTACTTGGTTTAAATAAGGTTCAAATTGCCACCATTAAAAATCAAATTGCCCCCCTTTGGGGCATGGGCCCCACATTGGGAACCACTGATCTAGACAGTCACTTATCTGAAATAGAATAGGTTCTCCTGCTTGAGCAGGGGGCTGGATTAGAAGACCTCCAAGGTCCCCTCCAGCTCATTCATTCTATTCTATTATGGTAGCTGTAATAAGTGAGTAGCTGAAAGCTTTAGTATAGGGATCATACCCATCTCTTACCATCTTTTGTGTTAGTTGTGCGTTAATGAACATGGAGCATAAGGTTAAGAAATAACTGCATTGATATAGATGGTTAGAAAACTAATTATTACAGGTAATTTGATAACGAGTAAGGAATAAAGGACTGGTATGTCCTAAGCTGGATGTCAAGATCCTTTTAAGATATTTTTTTTCTTTGCTGTTTAGTTCTTTAGATTCTTTTTCTGGTTATTTTGTTTTCTTTTTTTCTGAATGAAATTTCATTTATTTATTTTTAATGTTGTTACCATTACACAATTGTACATTACCTCCATTGATATTTGATTCTGATACATTAATGCACCTACTGCTTGATACACTGTATTGTTGCAAAATTGTATTGTTTTTATTTTTTTTCACAGGCCTTTTTTCTTTTAGTTTTTTTAAAAAATAGCAATAGCACTTAGACTTATATACTGCTACACAGTGCTTTCTAAGTGGTTTACAGTCAGCCTATTTCCCCCAACAATTTTGGGTCCTTGTTTTATCCACCTTGGAAGGATAGAAGGCTGAGTCAACCCTGAGCCTGATGAGGTTTGAACTGCCAAGTTGCAGGCAGCTGGCAGTCAGCAGAATTGGCCTGCAGTACTGCACTCTAACCACTGGGCCACCTCTAAGCCCAGTAGTAAAGAATAAAAAAGAAAGATAAAACAAAATGTTACAAAAACAAGAGAATTCTTTGTGGTGGTGCATTTCTCCAGAGAGTCCCCAGACTCCAATCCTCTTGTAGCTATCAAAGCGCCCAAGATAACTTTGGGCTGGCCTCAAACTCAACCCATCCTACCCCACAGGGTTGTTGTGGGGAAATTTATGGAAGGAGATTTGAAGCGAATTACAGTTAAGTCTCCAACTTACAAAAGTTTGTTTACTGACCGTTTGAATTTACAACAGCACTGAAGAAAGTGATTGATGACCCTTTTTCACACACACACACACACCCCCTGGACACAGGGTCAAAATTCAGACGCGACATCTAACTCATATTTATGACTGTTGTAGTGTCCTGGGTCGTGTGAAGATTTCCTTTTGCAACCTTTTGACAGTCAGTGGGGAAGCCAGACTCACTTAACAACCAGGTGACTAATGCAACCATGATTCACTTAACAACTGAGAAAGGCCCTAAAAGGGGGCAAAACTCGCTTAATACACGTTTCACTTAACAACAGGCATTTGGGGCTCAACTGTGGTCGAGGACTACCTGGACCTAGGAAACAGGACCGAGGGGGACGGGGCAGCGAGCCAGGAGAGACCCTGGGCAACTCCGAGCCGGCCTAGCGGGCCCCGAGGGGCGTTGTTGGGAAGACGCGGAGAGGAAGAGGAGGGAGGAAGCCCACGCAGGCCGCCTGGACCAGCGCAGGAAAGGCGGGAGGCGGCAGAGGGCAGCTGGAAGCTCCGCCGCCACGCCGCGCCGCGCCGCCCGAGGCCAAAGCGGAGCCGCCGGTCGACTGAGGGCCCCCCGAAACGGCGGCGCTGCCGCTTTAGCGGTCCGCGAAAGAAGCGCAAGGCCGCCGCCTCCTCCTCTCCGCATCCCAAGTGAGGCGCTTCCCCGGCCAGCGGCGGCCATGGCCCGCGGCGGTAAAGAGGAGGGCCGCCCGCCCGAACAGGCCGCCTCGCCTCCGGAGGCCTCCCAGGGAAGCGGTTCTGGGCGCCCACCGCCACCGGCGCCTCCGCCTGCTCGGTTTCCCCGGCTGGCCCTGGCCCTGGCCTTCCTGGCGGCTCTGCTGGCGGCCAAATACTACCGGGACGCCGAGGCTGCCCGGCGACAGGTAATGAGGAGCGCGGCGGGGGGGGGATGTCTTCGGAGGGTGCGGATGGATGGGGGGTAGTGGATTTGGGGGGGGGCAGCCTTGGGGTCTTGGGACGTTGAAGGGGACAGACTGATAATGGTAATAATGACATAATCATGATTAAGTAGCATGATATAGTATGTTTCATATTACATTTTATCCTATATCATATTTTACATTATCTTATATTGAATATAATATACAATATTATGTGTGTGTGTATTTATATATGCGTGTGTAGATAGATAGATAGATGGATGGAAGGAAGGAAAGAGGGAAGGAAGGAAGGAACAAAAAAGGGAAAAAAGAAAGAAAGAGAAAGAAAGGAAAGAAAGAAAGAGAGAAAGAAAGAAGAAAGAAAGAAAGAAAGAAAGAAAGAAAGAAAGAAAGAAAGAAAGAAAGAAAGAAAGAAAGAAAGAAA